CATATCCTCTCTCCAATAGGATCCTTTTCAGCCTAATTAAAACGTATTTTACTTGTGAATCCCATGCTACTCAAGTGGAGTTAGTATGGATAACTAGAAAAGCTGTGCAAAAGTCCTGTAATACAATCTGAAATAAAATGTGAATTCAGGTAAGTAGCATTGTGATGGTAATCTATGGATGAATGGTCTAAGCAAAACTAGTAATACCTTACTTAAGACTAAAATGTAGCACCTTAGCTGTGTGAGAGATGGGGATGATGATATTCTGATGTCAGCGAGGTTGTTGCAATCACTGTATTTGTGTTTGTGGTTGCCTCTGACTAAGATCCCTTGTAAGGGAAAAGGATATTACATACTTACAAACAGCTTTTTGATTGGAGAGCTGCTGCCTTTTAGGCTGATGCCATTTGTGCTTGAGAAGTTCTTGTCCATGTGTTGCTGTGGGTATGAACATTAGGTCTGGAAAGTGTAATTACCCACCTTGCAATCCGAGTGCAGCACAATGCAGGGAAATAATTAACAAATCAGTCATCCAGCCCAATGCTAATATTTGCATTTGCCATTGATACATAGAGAACAAAACTGCTGATGGAAATATTTTTCAGTTTTATTGCAGGCAGAGATGATATCCTTAGAGAGGGAAAGTAGGTCTCATCCCAGCCCCAAAGGGATTGCAGTTATGTTTGAAGTACTGTGAAATGTTCAGGGCTTTGTCTTTGTGATTCTCATTGGAGTCACTAAGGCTGATTGCTGATGTCCCAGGCAGGGCTTAGAGAATTAAACCATGGTATCATGAGACTCAAGATTTTCTGTGCAAGACTTAGAAACAAGAAGCAGCTTCTGTTTGGCTACTTAATTCACTGGTTAGCTGAAGATTTAACTGGCACATTGGTATCTCAGCACTTAAATTGATAACCACGAGGAATACTTAGTTGGTCCTTTTTATGTCTCTTCCCCACACTCCCATCATCCCCACTAAATTGTCAGGAATAAGAATGCATTAAAACAAATACATATCAGACACTCAATTCTACATGCTCTGTTGTTTTGCATTCTGCAAATTCCCGCTCCACTCCAGAATGACTCCATTTCAGTTAGGTGATAGGTAAAGTATGTAAGAAGTGTTCTAGGCATTTCTAACCCTAGTCTAATCTGGTTTATTACCTTTCCATAAACTTGACACTTTTCATCTTCCAGTGGTTGAAATATTAAGATACAGTTATTACAATGCTCAACAAAGTATAAAGTGCTTATGTCACAAAATAAAAGCAAAAGCTTACTGTAAGAAAGAAATGTTCATTTTAGCTGTCCTGAGAATTAGGAAAGATAGGCACTGACTGGTAAAGATATAATAGAAAGAAAGCCCCATGAAGATGAAAAAGAGCTATTATCTCTTAGATCATTTCACCTCTCTGCAAGTGCAATATTGTACTTTCTCCTCCGAGGATGTAATTTAAACTGATAGTGAATCACAGAACTCCTTTGCAGCCCTTCCTTAGGCAGGCAGCTCCTCAATGCAGTTGGTTCCTAATGAACCTTTGTGAGTGCAAAAAGATCAGGATTGAAGTCAAGTGCTCTTCAATTAAAGATATATCTAGGAAGGTGGGAACAAGTAGGAATTTTGACTGCCATTTCAGCAGTGCTCTCAAAATTGAACTGCTTTGCAAAACTACATCCATCTTGGTTTTGAACCTCATTAAAAAAGAGAACCAGTATTGAGGGAGAGGAGAGATATATCTGAGGAAAGGAGAAAAGTTTAAAAAAAATACCAGAATGACGTGTTTGATCATCATTAGAACTGTTCTGAGTTTCCATTTTGAAATTAGGTCTTTGTTTCCATTTTTAACTTGGAAAATATAGAAGAAAATGTCTGAGAGTTGAAATCTAATTAATTGCTTAAGAAAAAGAATCTTGATGGGAAATTTCAGTGTCAAATCTGAAATTATCATAGTCAGTTGTGAAATTAGAGCTTTCATCCCTCTCATAGCCCTACTGAGCATGCATTTCTCTGGTGTTTGGAATAAAATAATTTTGCAGTTAATGGATTAAAATGTAAACCTGGACATATATGTTTACCAAGCACCATCATCACTTGAAAAGCAAACTTGTGTTGCTGCGGGATTGGATTCATCTAGCAAAAGAGGGAGGAAAAAAAATATTCTGGACTTGCAGATGTTTTTCTCGGCAGAGTAATGACTCTTATGTAAATAATCACTTTATTTTGCAAGTGCATAGACTTTCATTCCACATATTGTTTTCACCTTTCCTGCCCTTTTCTCTGGTGCAAGCTTCTGCTAAATCTAGCAAGTCTCGTTATTCTGTTTTTAAATATCAAAGCTATAAACATCCAGGGCAGAGTTACGTAGGAACCTCATTGTTTTTGAGTAACATCTTGAAACCTCCAAGTTGATATCAAATAAAAATCTTGGTTGGATAGCATTGTGAATGGCAGATGTAGTTTATCAGTAATAGGGAAAGAATGCAGCTTTTTAACATCATCTTCTGTGGTCAGGTAATGAATGAGAAAAAAATAGACATACAGTAAACATCAGAAGTGATGGAGCAGTCTGGTAAATAAGTTCCTTTGCTGCAATACAACTATTTTCCAGTTACACATGAAACATGCAGCGTGTCATTGTTTGCTCCACCTCTGTACATGGCAAACCACATTTCCAGTGCTCTGCAGCTCTGGCACTAAAAGTCGAGCTCAGGGAGCAGAGCAGGGGACACTCAGTGTGGTATTGCCCAGGCCCACCCGTGTCACTTCACAGAAATAACTGGGTGTACTTGGAAATTACACCATTGGAAAGAAGATCGGAATCTTCCCCTAAATCTTTGTCTGTTCATAAATTGCCACTGTCAGTTTTCAGCAACTCTTTGTTATGAGCTGCAGCTGGAGTTTTTTTTCTCTTTTTTGCTGTCTTTAATGATACATGTGTGTGTCTCATGAATATGATTTATTGTTTCTCTTTGTAAGCTAAAATGGTTGTAGGAAGGGTATGGCACTTATTCCTGAGGGAAGATCAGTTAGTAACTTGCCTGAGGAAAGTTTGTTCTAGGCAGTTGGTGATTAGTTCTTGTTCCTAGAACTTGAAAGTATATCTTTTTCAGATAATTATGTCTTAGAGAGTATATTGTGATATATTTCAACTATGAGTATGAATATTAGTGCCTTTAACGATTTTCTACCCTGTTGTTTCAGGCATACTTTGTCAGTGAATTTCACAGGTTAATTACATATTGTTTAACAAAATGCCAGTTTTCACTGTCTCCTCAGACTGTTCATTTTCACAGGATCTGGTTGTGAGATAGGCATCTATTACACTGGCTTTGTTTTCAGCTCTCAAAGTAGCAAGATTTCTATACCTCCTATGTGGAAATCTAGTTCCTGTAAGGATTGCTCCTTTCTCCTAGATGGTCTTTTTTTGTTTGTTTACTCCTGTTTATGGAAAAATGTTGTGTGTGGCAACAAAAGCTGAACACAGAGCTCAGCGTGAAGCTCGGTACTGATGCAGGGATTACCACTGTGGATGAGCCCAGTTTTTGTCTAGCTCAACTTTCCCTCTCTGATAGATGCCATTGCTAAGTGTTTCAGGGGAAAGTGCAACACAGCCCTCAGGAAGGAAATAATGAACCAAACACAGAGGGTCTCTCCCTATCAGTCTTTTAACTTGTGCCTTGAAAAATGAGAATCTATATGTTTATTTATTATACACAGTCTAAAGCTGCTCTTGGGGTTTTTGTTGCAACCATAACTATCTCATCCTTTCTGATATCCTGCTATTCTCATAGTCTCAATGATATTTTGTGACAATGAGTTTCACCTCAGGTTAATAAAGTACTCTAGGGAAAGATGTTTGCCTTTATCAATTTTATATGTGTTGTCTTCAATTTCACTTAATGTCCACAAGTGTAGCTTTATTTCCCTTTTCCTAGCTTTCATTATTTTCTAAGCCTCTGTATTCCATTATTCATTTCCTGTCTAAAGCAAACAGTGCCAAATGTCTCAGTCATCTCTACTTGATTTGTAAGCTTTTAAGTATTTGTATTTCGTATTTGTCCCTGTCCTAATTGTGCAATGTACTTTTTAAAGATTAGAATTCAAGGCATCACCCTGATCTGTGAGTTGGCAGTGGGATATTACTTGTAAAATTCTGATTCTTTTGATTATTTTTGCATTTTTCATTTCATTTTCTCTGGTGATCCCATGTGTGTTGGAAAGATTTCAGTGGAATGTTCAGCATTATGCAGATTTGTACAACACCTCCCACAAATACATCTTCACTTACCTGAGCATCCTGCAAGTGCTTCAGTTAGCATTTGTCACTGTGCTTTCTTGGTTGTTTAGCAATGAAAGGGCAAACTGTGTTTTGGATGCATTTTAGTGTGGTTTATTTTTGGTTTCTAAATGATCAAGTATGTGTCAAATACAGGTGAAAGACAGGCATTTGGAGTAGCTAATTCAGTAGTGTTCTGTTCCTTGTGAAACTAAATTGTCTGAAATGAAGCCCATGTTTCTTCCTGCAGAGAGGTTTAAATAATTGCAGTTGCTCTACAGTTGAAACTATTAAATAATAATCTTTTGAGGAGTTGATCTTGAGATGCCTCAGCACTGAGGTTTAGCCTCTGCATTTTAAAACACCACTAAGTCCCTTTTCCCAGAGTGCTGCCCAAACCTGAATTTATCCAGTTGTGGCTGATTCTCATCTATGAAAGTGCAGTTTGTCACAAGGTATTGGAAAACAGATGATCTCCCAAGTCAGAGGCTGCTTCCATGACTGGTGGGCTTTCATCACTCAGAGAAACTTTCTCAAACTATTTCTCACATATAAGACCTTTGTAAAGAAGGATGTAGAGAAAGCGTGATGATTGATAGAAAAAGTCTAGGCTATGCTGAACTTTCAGTCCTGATGAAGGAGCATTTTGGCAAGAAATTAGAGCTGAAAAATAGAAGTCCAAATTGCTCATCTTTTATTCTTTTTTTTTTTTTTGATCCCCAGATCTAAACGTCCAGTGCCAGTTTCAACTACAGCTCCTAGAATTGACTCTCCCAGAGCTGTAATCCCCCACCAGAAGGTAAGTGGCACATTCTCAGCCAAAATGAACACCATTTTTATCTGCTGCAGTGAAGGTAAATACCTACTACAGGAAACAGATTTTGCCTGCCACAAATAAGTAAACACTGAATGAATGCAGAGGCAGCAAACTGCTGCAGTGCAACTAGTGATCTGTATTTTCCTAATTTTTGATTAACAGGACCAAAGCCTCCAGCCAGCCTCTGATGTGATTTTGTCTAACCCATTCTGAGCAGCTTGTTTTCATCTAGGCTGCAAGAGGCTACTAAAGCTTCTCAAAATATACATTAGCTTTTGTAGATTATTGGGGGAAAACCATTAGCCTTTACCTCAGTCTCTCCAAATCCTGACTAGAACTGAACAGACACTGACTTGGAAAGAGGACATGAGGCCTTTTGAAAGCTTGCATCATATTACACTCTTGTCACAGTATTCAAGAAATGAGAATAAAAAGTAAAGAGGATAAGTCAATTTAATGAATAACAGCCAGTGGCAGAGGAAATGGATGGCTTGGTTTCTGTTGTCAAAGCTCGTCATCTTTCATAAAGTAAACATTCATTTTAGAACAAACAGCATTAATTGAATGTACCTGGCAACTCATCCTCTGTATCTTTGGAGGCACTGAGGAGCAAGGATAACTGAAAGATGGTGTATATCCTTAGGCTCAAGCCCTGGGTAGGATATTAGGATGTTTGCATTGCTGACACATTTCATTAGCTAAATGGAGAGGAGGTAAAGTCTCCATTGCTGCAACTTATCCCTTCTGTCAGTGCCAGTTTCATCTCTACCATGCACTAAAAAATAAGAAGCAAAAGATCAAAACACATGGGGAATTAGATGGTGTTCTACTGGTTTGGGTAGTTCTGACATCCACAGATCAATTTTAAGTAATTTTTATAAACACTATGCCTTCCAAATTCAGAGCAGAAGGTAACATCATCCCTGAAACTACTTCAAATAGGTTCAAACTAACAGAGGAGAATGCACTTGGGGAGAATCATTTGATTCAATTTTATTTTGTGAAATTTTAAATGAACCTGACTGGCCATTTATTAGTTGAGACAAAAATACTGTTATTTCAGACTGGATCTTGTAAACTTTTTGGCAAGGGAAGATGAAATTAAAGATTTATCCTGCTCAGAGTTGTTTCTGCTTATATCATGATTTTATAAAAGTTATCCTGAAGGAAGTTACTGGAAGAGTCACCAAACAATATTGTGAAATTGCTGTAACAAGAGCCATGGATCATTTTTTTTTGTTAGACCGGTGTTTGACTGCACCAGTAAAATAATAGGGACAGGAAGGGGAGATATTTCTTATTTCCCCTCAAGAATTACACAGAATGCTGTTAGTTTTCAAGGCAGAGAGTAGATATGTCTCTTCAGAATTACTCACAAACACAAGACTGACAGTTACCTTTTGAGACTCTCTTTGGCACCTGCACAGGCATGAAACGTTTGTCTGCTTCCACCACAGTTACACAGAGCTTTTATATATGGGATTTTCATGACTCTGTGTTAGGTGCATTTCTTCCTTGTCAAGTGTCAATTTTAAAATTACTGCCATAGGTATTCAAACCTGTTTATCACACAAAGCATTTTCCTCCCTTAACTACCTACCATATAAAAAAGTTAACTCTTTGCGCTGTAGGGTTTTCTTAAAGGTCCTAAAAGAGCCTTTGGCATGAAAGCTATAAGGATATTTTATATTTCCTATCCTAACCCTTCAGAGAGAGGTGAGGATCAAAGGACTCAACCCATTTTCAGGAGCTTGCTGTCTCAGATTTTGAGAATTCTGTGCATTGGTGCTTAGGAAAGGTTTATAGGAGCTGTTCTGAATGGGCTACAGGTAGTGCTGGCAGCTGGAAAAGAGAGTTACTGGAACCTTTCTGGAGGAAAAGGGTGACATCCAGGATAAGGTATGATGGGAAACAGTCTATTCAGAAGTATCTTAGGTGTAGGGTCTTTGGCCCAGAGGGAAGTGGTACCAGCAGAGTGCTGGAGTGGGGAACCCTTTGTAGATCAAGAGGAGGGATATTTATGTCACTAGTCTACACTGGTAGACAACAGTAATTTTTAAGTGAAGAAGAATTCTTTTCTGGAGGTAGTTTGGAAGGGAATGAAGGCATTGAACCATCAGAGAAGCCTCAAAATCCAGAATAAAAATTCTTTACTGATGAACAATGGTATGGTGATGTTGCAGTAAGGTATGGCACAGTAAATATACTTTAAAAATCAAGATTTCTTTGCTTGTCCCTTTATTATTTCTAGTAACAGTATCATTGTAGAAATGAGGAATTCTGTGACACATAGGCAGAAGCTGTCACCTCCACATCACTGCTTGACAGTGTTTAGACTGATGGATCACATGAAGTGAATTTGACTGTATTTAAAAAAAAAAAAAACCAAAAAAACAAAACAGCAAAAAAACTGCATTACAAGACAGTTGTGACAGTGTCATCCTCAAACATCAAGAGAAGTTTTTCTCACCCTTCTCTGGTTAAGGTTAAGGCATGTCAATGTGAGCTAAACAATCTGCATGTGCAAGTTCAGTGTCTAGTTTAAACCTGAAATTCTCTTGTACATAATGCTAATCTGATTGCAGCTTCCACTAATTTTCAAGCATGCATTTCTTCTTTGAGTACTGTGGTCTTGGAATTTTTGTGTTTTAGGAAAATAGGCATACATTCTGTCACAAAGATCAGTCATTCTTTCACATAGCTGATCAATGTTATGGATGATAAAGGTTCTACAACCATAAATAAGGCACCAATTGAGCTGTAGGGCTATTACTGGAAATACACATTTGATTTATTTGCACTGTATCCTTATCTGACATTAATCTCAAACTGGAAACAATGCTCATTTAGTTTAGTCAGTCTTTCTTAATTAATCAAAAGATTTAGTAGTCTTTTGTGCAGGTGTGGCATAGTTAGAAGGACATAGTTAATGTTGAAAGCATTCAAATAACAATAAGCATAAACATGAGTCCAAGGACTGAAACTAAGCCATCATCAGTCAGAGAGTTCCTGCAGCTCTTCAGGAGTGACACAACACAGGTGAAGATTCAGCTCAGTGCAGTTCAAAACATTGAAGCTGAAGCTTTAAGGCTGAGCACAGCTTTAACATTTGTCCCTTTACATGAAGGTATTGACAGCCTCTTTAATTTTAATAGTATGACTGTGTGCTGTGATGTTTATGAAATAGTGCTTTTGGAGTCCCACTGAGGATCTTGTAATACTCATGATTTTTTCTGCCAAATTTGGGAACCTATGTGGCTAAGAGAAAATAGAAGAAGAAATGATTGACTTTTTAAGTAAAACATAGGATGGAAGAGCTGGCTCAGCCAAAAGCAGTTTGTTGGATATCTTTGAGCAGAGTCATTTGGTGCCTCCATTACCTTCTTTCTATAAAATGTTTAAAAGCAACCACTACTTCTTGGACATGTTGGGTGGTCAAATTCATTAGTATACTGTTAAAATTGTTCTCCCAGAAGTGCAAAAGGTAAGAACTGTCGAGTCATAGCAATAGATAAATAGAAAATGAGCTGTCAAAGGAAGAGGATCTGCAAAACTTGGTATCATGTCTTCCAGTATAAATTTGTTTCTCACTTCTCTGATCCCTAAAAAGGAGGTTTTGCCTTTCACAGAAACTGGATGTTTATAAAAAGAAGTATAATAATAATATTTCAGAATTAAACTCCTCTACATTTATCAGGTTTAAGCTCATTCGCTGACATTACAGGGGGAAATTAAAACACAGTTTTCCTCTTGCAGTGAGGGATCGCTGCCCAATCCCGGCATCTTTCTCGAGGGAAGCCCATTGCTCAGTGTCAGAGCCTCCTCTTCTGGTCGGCTGCAGGGGTAGCATCAGAGTGCCGTAGTTGGAAATGTCAGCTTGCTTTTCCAGACGCGGCAACTGAAACGGAACGGGATGAGAGACAGGAAACAGGGGAACGTTTGTTACTGTTGGCTGCATTCCGTGTGATGCAATGCCCAAAGCTGTGCTGCTGCCCAGTATTAGAAATTTACCCCTCACAGACAGAAATGGTTTCAGAAATGCTGTATTGATCTGGTTTTGCCATTGGACAGGGGAAAAAAAATTCAAAAATACCCTACCAGGAATAAGCTGAATGAGGGATTCTTTGTCAAACACAAAAGGAAAGAGCTAAATATGCTGATGATTGGGCAGTAATTCCTTGGAAGAAGTTATACAGCTGCTCTCTGATACACTTCCTCAAAATGGAGAATGCAAACCTGGCACTACTGGGTTCTTAGGAATTCTAGTGGTGAGTTCCCATCATGCTGGCATTCCAGCTAGTAATTGTTTGAGGAGTGAAACCAAAATTCCATCCATGTCATAAAGGTGAGCAAAATTATCAACCATCATTTTTTATGACTATCCTGTAATTTTCCCTTTGTCTACTGTTGCTGTCCAATAACACAAAAACTTTGAAAATGCATTAGGATTAAAAAATATCTGGCATTTCTCTCATTAATAGTTGAAGCTGATACTTTTTGATCAGCTCTCCTTGCATGTCCTTTTTATTTTGAGGTTTAAAAAGGAAACCCACAGTTAACAAAGAGCCACGGAGTTTTCAGGGTAACAAACAAATATAACTCTGACATATCCTTTTTCTTGTCTCTTGCCTCTCTATTTATTTTCTGTTTAATAATTGTTTTGTCCCTCTCTGCTGGCATGTAAAACTCGTTTGCACAAGTGATGACTTAATTTTTGAACAAGGCCTTGTGCATTTGTGCTTCTTTTTCAACACATTTTTATAGACTACCTCTGTTTTCTGTTTATTTAATATCTCAAAGCTTGCAATAAGCCACTGAGCAGCACTGTTTGCTGTTTTCAATGTCAGTTTATAGTGACCAAAGTATGTATTTCAAATGTAGTTATTTAAAAAGGCATAGTCTGAAAAATGCTTTTAGGATTATCTGTTCCTACAGCCTCAGGCAGCTATTAATGCCAACTAAAATCTCTTCCTGTTTATTAATAAGAAAAATTATCTCAGTTCATTTTATCTGCCTTACTTTTTGAATCAAAATGTCTTATAATGTGTTTAATGTTATGATTAAATATATCCTTAGACCTTTAGGTTTTTTTTTTTTAATAAATTTTAATTAATCAAGCCATGTTATCTTGATTTTTTTCAAATGTATGCTCCCATAGAAAAATCCAAGAGGATAACATAAATATTTATTTTTCTAGTGAACCTTAGTATCAAAATTAATAAATCACATTAATGATAACCAATAGTAGCAAAAGTATAAGATCAGAAGCCAGATTATTCTCAGGCCCGTGTTCCATGCAAGGCTGTAGGGAAGACGAGTGTAAGATGTTAAAGATGGTGATTGAGCCCAAATGAGGCAAAATGTCACTGCAGGCCACCACCTGCTCTTGAACTGGCTTTCACTGAGGCCAGATTGTGGCTCCATTTCCTCTTCATGATCATGTCCCCTGCCTGTCCCTGTCCCCTGAGCTGGACTGCAGCAGGCAGCATTCCTGGTGGGCCTCTTAACTGTGAGCATCTGGATCCTGCTTGTGGCTGCAGCATGTCCAGGTCCAGAGAGAGAGGCTGAAGTGATCCTTTTCCTGTAATAAAAGCAATGTAGCCCAAGTCAGGCTGTAGCTATGAACTTTTGCAATAAACTAGAATATCCCAACTCTAGAAAAATCTGTAAATTGCAAAGCACTCAAATAGTTCGTTGGATACCTCAGCTGTAGACTTTTTTTTTTCTTTAATGCAAAGCACATAATTACAGACAAACAAAAGTGAGGAATAGAACCGCTTTTGAAACTATATAATTCATTTTTTTTAGAAGGTGTTAATGAGTTCTGGATGTTCAGGGTGCTAAAATGGCAAACCTTAAAGAGATGTTAAAGATAATCAGCATCAGAATCTAGCTATTCATGTTCCTGTCACCAAGCCTTTAGAAGTGAAAGAATAGCAAAATTGAGAGTAAAGGTATAAAATGCCCACCTGGAAGTGATTTTCCTATTTCTCTGTAATAAAATTGTCCTTATTTCAGGTAGACAGGCTTCCAAAAAGTATAGAGCTGTGGTCACTACATGCTGCCAGTAGTTGGAAGGAGAGGAGGCAATTTAACCCTAATGGTGCTCTGTGCTTCCCACAAGGTGCTGAGTATCCTTCAGGCCCAGGTGTTGCACCAGAAGGAGCTTGAAGCTGTGATAAGGTGCTTTTAGGCAACAAGAGCACAGAAGTTTTACATGAACGTGCCTCAGAACTCACGTGACAACTTATCACCTGCACTGTGTTGCTGATAAAGCACTATTTTTCTTTTTTTAATATCGCCTTTATTTTGGTTTAACTAAGTTACATTAATAGTGAATAATTTATGAAACTGAAGTGTAGGACTGTGTTTTTCCAGGGTGATTCTTTTTTAGATTGTTTGTAATTTGGGCACCAGCACAGACTTCTATGGGTATAGCGATTGCAGGAGAGATTCCTGTGACTTGCACCCTGGTGTCCTAGTTAGGAATATTATCTGGGACATGACAGTGGGATCATGCACATGTCATCAACATAGTCATGCACACATTCCTTCAAGTGTAAATTATGCAGGAATGATCCTCATAGAAACATCTTCTCTGTGGAGCAGTGCCTGTCCTCAAATCGTGTTGGTCTATCTGCTAACCCTGCTGCATGGCCTAATTAGCATGAACCAGAGCCCAGGAAAGCAGTGCCATGTGTGAGCTTCCATAACTCACAGTGCACTCATGGAAAATAGAAAATGGAAAATGGTGTGGTTTAGAATCATTATGTATTTCTAATAATGGCATTGACTTTTATGTTTGTATATTATCTAAAATGATTCTGACCTCAAGATGTTTTTTAAAGGTTTTTAAATATACTAAAAATTAATGGGCAGCATTGTGTTTATATAAAATTATTGCTGTGAGGTTGACTAGTAGCAAATGCTCTTTTAATGTTAAGCTTTATTTGTTGATTTCAACTAAAACCCAGTAAAAAATGCCTGAGTATGTTTTGCTTCCCTTATTTGGAAACAATGCGTTTCGTTGTTGAAAATCTTCCCCGAAAGTTTGAATGCTTTGGCCCCAATCTATTTATTGCAAGTTTATCAATATGTTTAAAGCAGTAATTGCAGATGTTATTTTTGCATGTGTTCTATGATTGCTCTTTTCTTTTTTTTTCTTTTCTTGGCCTGCATGTTTGCTACTACAGGAACCTGCTTGGGAAATCAATGGCAACAGAACAACCTTCAGCCCTCTAACTAACACGGCGACTGGGCCTGTGGGTAGTGGTTTAGCAACCAATGGAACGTTTTCAGGCTACCTCAACCAGCAAGAGATCAGCTTTTCAAATAGTTCTTCCTACTTAAAGACTACCACAGTTAGATCTTCCATGTCCTCTCAGTCTGTGACTCCTGACATTTCACCTGCAAAGAGTACTCTAGGTTCCAAGCCAAGCCCCGTGCTGGCTGGTGGCAATAGCCCTGCACACCAGCTGAGCCCTGCAAGGCAGTATAACAACCCCATTGGCCTTTACTCAGCAGAGACTCTCAGGGAAATGGCTGAGATGCATAAATTAAGTCTCAACCGAAGGGCTTCGGAAGGTGGACTTCCTAGAGGGTAGGTAACGTATTTAATATTTCAATAAGTAATGAATTTGCTGAAAAATGAGTGTAATAGTACCTACCCTATTGTGCTTTTATCTGGTAATCATGATTAAGGTGTGGAACAATCATTAAGTTTTCCAGTAGCCCCCAAGATATATCCACAGTATCATCACAGGATAAGCCTTGTTCTTTGGTATCTGAACTGCAACATGGGTTGGCAATGGTCACCAGAGCATGAGGAGGAACACTAGGACTGAAGTGACTGTGATCATCTTGGGGTTCTGGCACTCAGCAGTTTTAACTGATACCTGCAGTCTCACAGAACCAAGTATTGCTGTTGGCCCTTAGAGCAGCTGCCTTGAACCAGCTCTGATCTTTGGTACTTTGCTAAAGACAAATGGCTTGGACCGGCAAATCTGACGTGCTCGGCTACTGGAATGTCCTGCTGTAATTCCTGCCTTAATGTATTGGCTTTTCTATGCAAAATGAGTCAAAATTGCAGTATTTTGGACATTGTCTGTTTTGGATGTTGTCTGTCTTGCATCCATTAACTTTGCTGTTATCTTGTATGTAACAATGAACGATCTCCAGATACTGCCCAGATAGTTTGACCCCATGCTGTCCAAGGTTTTACCTATTACTCTGTTGCAGATCAACTGTTTTGTTGGAAGGTTTGTAAAATGAGGACCTTGGACTACAGTACATGAGAAAGAGCAATGAGAAACAGGTTTTCCTAATTTTCCTGCCTTCATGTATTAATTGGCAAACAAATGTAATTTTTTTAGTTTATTTGTGGTTTGGATTTTTTTTTAATGAAGATGAATTTCTTATTATGAATATGGGGGAAAGTGTACTTTTGACAGTAGGGACTTGGCTATATAAGGAAAAACAGAAAATTCAGACAATCCACTGAGATCTGATAGCAAATGCATATCTTCAAGTACTTTATATCTCTTTGCAGGAGCTCTTTGCAAGAGCAAAACCAAGGGGTTTTAACTTGTAGCAAAGTAAGGATATTTTATCCTTATAAAAGAGCATAAATACGTGTTCTAGATGATTCAGGCAGTTTATATGATTCATCGTAACTCTCTTGAGGACTCGGCATTAACAATCCTAATTAAGTTATCTGCAAAAATCCTATCCTCCTTTCTCATACTGAATAATTAAGAAAAGCAATTACTGTTTAGAAGAAAATTATTTCAGTTAACAAAATCAGCAAAATAAACCTCAGAATACTTCTCTCTTAATTTACAATTTTCTTGAAGAATACTAATCCTTGTCTTTTTTTCAATATACAGAGTTTTCTGGGAGTATATCTCACTATCTTTTTCCCACTATCTTCACAACTCTGCTTAACATCTGCAAGGGTGAGGGTAAAGTGGCTGTATTTTGGGTAGCTCAGCATTGTGACTGTTTGTTATCAGAATTACAACACAGCTGCATCCATCACTCATCAAAGTCTATGTAAGCCTTTCTTTTCATGCCAGAGGGCATTGCAATAGGGCTACATGATATCACAGTGATTAGTGGGGTGCAAAGAAGGTGTACCTGCAGAAAACACTTCCCTGCCTTCACTCTGCTGCTTTTTCATGTTCTATGTCCCCTTTATATGTGAACATTTTAGTGCATGCCTGTGGCAGTGCCCTGAATTACAAAGTTCTACCTTAGAACAACCATCTGAGATTTTTGTTTTTCTTTTAGTTTGAACAAAATTTTAGGGAGTTTCTGTCTATCTGCTTGTAATATCTGTAGCACTGATGAGCAAATCAGGAAATTTTAAAAATCAGCCTTTTTTTTCTGCAGCCCAGGAACATTCTGAAAAGGTGTAAGAGCCCAGAGGTACTAAATAAATGTGTCTTCTCAGGTAACTCTTCTGAGATCTCTGTTTACTTGCAGAGAAAATTCAGAGCTCAAGAATGCTGTTATTCCCACTCCCACTTGAATGTTACCCATGAACTGAGAGGCATCTCTCCTTCTGCTCTCTGGAGAATTACACATAGAACCTGTAATTAGCTTGGCACTTGGTATCATCCATGATCATCTCAATCTCATAGTGGATATTTGGGACAGAATGCACAGGGAAAGCACTGTGAGCTCTACAAGATCAGCTCTGGACTTTGTTGGGGACATTCTTATCATATAGTACAATATGAGATGCTGTGTAAAGGTTGTGATATCGTGGTGCTCCAAAACTGTGAATTCATTGTTAATTCATGAACTTGTGCTTAGTATGGCAAAAGCTGTTCGAAAAATTCAGGTGTGGGGGCTGATCTTAGGTATATTTCATATTTCAATACCATGTCCTTTTCACTAAATGATTTAAATTTGTGTGAATTGCTACTAGAGGTTTAGCTAAATCCTCTGGAAAATTCTATCAAGGAACTAAAATTAATTTTAAAATTATTTCCTTGATCTGTGAAGAATAACAAAGCACCTGTCTCTCTGATACACCTTACATTAAAGCTTTATCACCTTGACCCAGGGTAAAAAAGTGGTGGCCTGTTAAGAGTGTGCTGTGATGTGCTGGAAGTTCTGGAGAGTATTAATAAATATGAAGAGTGAGTCATAGTTTGTAACATGTGGATCTTTTTCATTCCAGTGCGAGTTACTTTTCATATTGTAGGTCAAGGGCAGTAAATACCTGTCCCACAAGTGCATGCCAGGTGGTTTGGGTTACTGGCTTCTTACCCTGTGACCTCTGTGAGCAGCAACCTGGGTGTTTCATACATGTCCATATTTAGAATCAAACTAAAGTAATGTGTGGCTCTGAACTGGGGGGAATTTTCTCATCACATATGAAACATAAGGAGAAGCAAAGCTTTAGTCTTTCTGAAGGAAGCTGTAGTAGTCTCTTTGCATCTCAAAATCTTGACTGAGACATGTCTGTTGAGCTTTTATTGGTGCGTGCACAAAATGATTTTTATCTTTTAACATTTTTATATGTAAACATATTCCTCTAATTAAGTTGTATTTTGGGGATGGTTGTTCTACCTTTAAAATATTATTTTATATGTAAGGTAGAGGGCTGGATTAGTCAGAAAATGATACTAGTACGTTGTTTCTTTGTAAATGAGTGTCCAGCTGTCCTGCATAAACCTAAAATGGATATAGGATCACTAATGTGCTTACAGGCTGCAGCTTGTTCCTAATATATCTCTACCAGTTCCTGTAACAAACTGATATATTTGGCTTAATGTAGGGTTTTTATCTGAGAGTCTGACCAGTAGCTGCAGAAGGTGATCTATGATGTTGTTTTACCATGAAAATGAAGAAATGCAAAGCCTTTACTACAGCTTGGCTCATTAGAGTGGTTTTGATCATGAAAAAGCTGTTGGATGAGCCAAGGCAAAAGGACTGTATGTAGAAAGAAGCAGTAATATCAAAGGTTCTGCCAGGCAAAAGCAGAAGGAGACAAATCCACTTGAGATGTCAGCATAACTTTGCTGTCCAGTATTTTCTATCGGTCCCAGATACAGAAATGTCGCAGCAGCAAGTTGGAAGGTTCAGTGCCCAGTTCTGTCAACAGCATTCTGTGCAGCTAAGTAAGAAGAAAAGTTTATTAACTGATCCTGGATCTCTTCCTCTTTATTTTGCACAAAATAAAATGGATTAGTCTTCAACCAAGAAAAGAGCAATATGTAGGTATTTTAAGCTTTGGGAGAAACAAAGTTAAAATAAACATCCTAGCCCATTACTGCTATTTGTTGTTAGCAAATACACCACAGTCCAGTGTGAGCACACTGTTCATCACTCCCAGCTTCAGCTGGTTTAATGCTTCTTTGGAATTACTGTGCAAGCCACTGTCACTTGTTTATGCAGCAAAGCAGAAATGTAACATGAACAGGTGGTTTTCTCACACTGTATACATACCAGATCAATAAAATATCCTGATATCCATATCCCAAAAAACACATAATGCACAGCTTGCTTCATTTCAAATGGAATAAAATTAGGAATGACTATTCTGAGGCTAATTGGCTTACACCACTGTTGGCATAATGTAAGTACAGTCAGATTTAAGCCAATACTTTGTTAAATACGAAGGCATTTTCCTTAGTTTTAGATTTAAAACATCTACCAGTGTATTTTTTGGATGTTCTCCAGCATGTAAAAGATGAAAAAATCAGTCTTGCAAAACCAGCTCTGAAGGTGGCCTGAGGAGAACAGACTTCATCCCTGAATATTTAGTATCTAGGGGGAAAAATATAATTCCTACCACTCATATGCTATTTTCAGATGAGAATATACTCTGCAAATCCTTTTTTATTCCCTCTGCTCCCTCCTCCCATACGCTTTGGTAGTAGTACTTTTAGGGATGTACAGCAATAAAATCATGTTCAAGGGTCAGCCAAAATGCCATGGTACCCTACTAAGTCCTAGTGGATCAAGTATAATCCCCAAATTTTTTCCTTTCTTAATCATGTAAGGGTTTTTAGGCATACATTTACTTTTTGTTCTTATTTGTAGATGGTGTGAAAAGAGCCTGTAGCAAGCTTTCATAAATATGTTCTACCCTTTGCACTCTAAAAACTATTGACTTTTTCTGTGTGGTTGATGTTGTTTGTTCTCTTTCTCTTCTTTTAGGTCATAACCAACACTGCTGCCAAGTTAGTATCACTTCTATATAGTGCCAAATGTTTGTGTTATGCTGTGTATGTGAAGATGTGTTTTCTGGGGTAGCATGATCCCCTCTGCTCGTGCTGTGTCTGCTTGCAAGTGGAAGTGTTTTTCTAAAAATCTGCTTGGTATGGCCAGCATCATGTGCTGCCTCTGGTGTCCAGCAGTGCTCCCTTCTGAGCACACCACGCACTTGGTGATGCTCTAACGCTGTGAATGGAGTTGGCAGCTGAGCCTACTCAGTTCTTCTGAAGGCTTTCAAAAGAGTTTGTTTCTGCAGTCCAGGTTTAAGTCCTCTCAAATCTTTCAGTAGCCTTCATGCCTTCAGAGTTTGTTGAGCATTATCTGAGCCTTTTTTGGTGTATTATTAGCAATGTACTTTGAGCTTTGACATAA